CGTTCAGCGTCTCTGCTGTTGGTTGTTTTTTTCGACCAGCGCTGTGTGCTGGCGCCTCTGCACACGGACCTGACTGCGCCCTGCGGGGCGGCACAGGGCAGGGTCCGGCACTCCGGGCGGAGAGACGCAGAGCGCCATCTGGGGACAGGGGGCATGAAATGGGTGTCATGCCAGCTGGCCTCCTGACCCCCCCCCCCGCCTGCGATGTCTGTGCAGGAGCGAATACCAGGGGAGTTTCCCACACTGCTCTCCCCTGGCTCAAACACTGCGGTTCTGTCGAGCAGAATTTGCATTTCTTACAGCAAAAGAAAAGCTGCAATACTACTAGAAAGCCATACCAGAGGGGGAAAAAAGGCTTAAACCTCATTCCCGGTGTCCAAAACGGCAAGACAGGCCATGGAGGTGGAGGTCCAGGTCTCTGGGCTTATCCCTGTGCTGGAACGTCCCCTCACCCTCCACCCTCTTCTGAACGTCTGCCCTCAGAACAAGATGCTTCATGTCACTGTCTTGTCACTTTACACCTTGTTCTCAAAACCAAATGAGCGAATTCTAATGGGTGTGATTCCGTAGCTCTTTTTGAAGTGACTGTCTTGAGTGTCAGTTTTTAAGTTTCAGAAAAGGAATCGCCTTGTGCTTTTTCTACTTGCTGGCGTTTTGCCTGTAGCACGGTAGCCAGTTGTGCCGGGAGCACTGTGTCACCGGCTTTGTCTAGGAGCCCTTCGCAGGAGACACGAACGTGCCCCTCTGCCTTGCTGAGCTGCTGAGCAGTGCAGGACAGCCAGGGGCTCTGGGGGCTGGGAGTAGCAGTTGATGCTGCTGCCAGTGTGAAGGTACGCGTTCATCCAGCTCGGGTTTGAGACTGCGCTCCCCGGCATGAAGGTGCTCTTCCAGACTGGCAGCAGGCTCACGCGTTCCTCTCGGGGAAACGGTCAGCCTCCTGCGTGGGTTGGCCATCTTGCGCCGGGGGGGGGGTCCTCTGCGTGGCTTGTCCTGCTCACAGACCCCAGTATCAGAGGCGTGTGCGTGTCGGGGGAGGGGGGATTCTGAGAAAGGAGGTTGAGGGCAGCTGCAATCTGCTCCACCTCCCAGTGACTCCCAGCAACTGCAGGAGTTAAAAGGGGCTGAAGAACGAGCAATGGCTGACCCACTACAGTGGAAATCTGAAGCCTGCCTGGGGCCAGGGGTCGATGTCGGTGGAAGGGGGCAGCTGTACGTGAGCAGGCCCAGGCCCAGGCCCAGGCCCAGGCCCAGGCCCAGACCCAGGCCCAGGCCCAGGCCCAGGCCCGTGACGAGCTCTCCCTGCCGTACCCGGGACGGTCCTGTTTCATGCTGTGCTGTCCTCTGGCTCTCCTGCTCCGCCCCACAGCCCCTCAGCCCGATACCAAGCTGGCGTCCACAACAGGAAAGAAGCAGAACAAGAAGAAGGTGGAGGAGGTGCTGGAGGAGGAGGAGGAGGAGTATGTGGTGGAGAAGGTCCTGGACCGGCGCGTGGTGAAGGGCCGGGTCGAGTACCTACTCAAGTGGAAGGGCTTCTCCGAGTGAGTGCACCCCGACGCCCGCGCCGCCCTGCGCCACATGCATGTCCGTGCACGGCGCCCCAGCGCGGAGGTGGGCAGCACCAGACCCCGCGGTGTTCCTAAGCCGAAGTTGTTATCTGGACAGGGAGTCCTGTCACTTAGGCCTCAATGGTTACTAATTGTCAGGTGCCAGTAAAAGGTGGGGTTCTGTTGCTCGAGGTCTGGAGCTGCCCGTCCTGGCTGGAGAGGAGACGCAGGCCATGCGTGTACGCTAAGGAGCAGGGAGTCGTGGTCCTGAAGCAATTCCATCCAAGACCTTAGTTCTGCACTTAGGCCACGTAGGTGTAAGTCCGCTCAGCTGTGTTTTCTAGGTGTTGATCAAGTGGCTAATTGGTCAGTTGAGTAGGTAGAAGGCTGCCGGACGCTGGCACACTCACAGGCCCACCCCCTGCGGAGCCGTGGATACGTCGCCTCCCGGGTGCCGAGCTGCCGGTCCGAGAGCCGAAGGGCCCGAGCTCAAGGGCGCCCCGAGCTGCCCCCCCCCCCGTGACCTCTGTGTCCGTCTCCTTCCAGCGAGGACAACACCTGGGAGCCCGAGGAGAACCTGGACTGCCCCGACCTCATCGCCGAGTTCCTGCAGTCCCAGAAGACCGCCCACGAGGCGGAGAAGGCCGAGACGGGGGGCAAGAGGAAGGGGGAGTCCGACACCGAGGTGGCCGGAGAGGAGAGCCGGCCCAAGAAGAGGAAAGAGGAGGTGAGGGGTTTGCCCTGCGGGGGTGTCAGTTGGCCAGTCAGTTGTGGATTAACTGGACCAGTTCAAAGGTGAACTGCAGCACTACTTTATGTTTTGAGCAACTCAAACCTCAATTAAAGTCAAATGTACACAGTAATTTGTAAAACCTCCAATTTACATCACCAAATAGACATAATTTCGAAATGTGCGCAGCAGCGCCATCCTGTGTGATTCAGAATGAGGCACCTAAACTGCATGTGACGCGATGCGGCCCTGTTTCACCACACACCGCACACAAGCTACATCTCTTTGAATCCCAAAGATGGTTTTGCCAACAAATACTACTTTTTAACTCTGCACGCGGGTCACATGGGAACATTTCTGCTATGAAATATCTGCTGCACCACCTGAACGTATTCACTCTTCCATCACATTACATTAGTCATCACAGGGACTAGCGAGCAGGAAGGGCCCCATCACATCACCATTCCGACCCACTATAAGTCCATGCATTTTATGCTTGATTCAAAATGAGATTTTGTTTTTTTTTTACCGTCTATGAATTTGTTACCCAGGTTTAGTAACTGGCCTGAGAAACTGGCACTGTAGATCCCCTTTAACAGCTTTTCCCAGACCAGCTGGTCTGTGGCCCTGCAGGACCTGGACTGGACAAGTTGAGCTTGTGATTTGGGTACTGGACGGGAGTCTGCTCGTGCTGGACTGTGCTGCACTCGCCGGTGTGCAGTCCAGGCAGGGCAGCTCTTCGGCGGAGGGGAGTGGGCTCACTGTCCTGCCCCGTCTCTTCACCCTGTCTGCCCCCTCTCTTTCAGCCGGAGAAGCCCAGGGGCTTCGCCCGCGGCCTGGAGCCCGAGAGGATCATCGGGGCGACGGACTCCAGCGGGGAGCTGATGTTCCTCATGAAGTGGTGCGTACAGCCGGCGCAGGGTCAGGGGGTCAGAGGTCGGAGGTTAATCCCCAGGGAGGTGACGTTCTGAGAGAAAGGCCCTTGTGGGTTTTCCGACTCGCTGTGGCTGTATCCGCGAGGGCGAGGGTGGCGTAATGGGTGGGTGTCGGAGTGTGAAGTGGGACCTTGACCGGACGGTGTCTCGCTCTGCCCTCCCCGCAGGAAGAACTCGGACGAGGCAGACCTGGTGCCGGCGAAGGAAGCCAACATCAAGTGCCCGCAGGTGGTCATCTCTTTCTACGAGGAGCGGCTGACGTGGCACTCCTACCCCTCCGAGGAGGAAGAGAAGAAGGACGATAAGAACTAGCCGAGAGGGGTGGAAGTGGGGGCAGGGGTGGGGGGCGGTTTTTCGAAGAGGGGGTTGGGGGGTGGGGGGCGGAAAGCCCGATTCTCTGTCGCTTCATGTTTTTGCTTTCTACGACACCGGCCTTGGATGCCAGACCTCTCTCTGGGCAGCCAGCAGGGAGAGAAGGACTGGAGCAGATGTCCAATTCCTGGCTCATCAGTCCAGGTGCTTCTCTTAGAAGGCCGTTCTGGAAGGCTGGTGTTCCCAGTCCTGGTCCTGGAGATCCTCACACCTGCAGCTTTTGTGTTCCACCTGAGCACTTGGGTCAGTGACTGAACTCTTAAAAGCCCTCATCGAGGGTCTAATTTGAACTCGGCTAGTAGTTTTCAGCCTCGGTTGTTTTCCTACTGCGTGTAGGAAGTCGCCTACGTGAACTACTCGAGCGTTTCTCAAGCAGCTTCGAATCTGCAGCCTTTGAGGAGAGGAAAACCTGCACACGTTCCTGCTAAGCAGCCGGTCGGATCGGTTCGGATAGGGATGGGGCAAGTCGAACGCCAGCAGGTGTGGGGGGTCACCAGGACCGGGGGGGGGGGAGGGGACCCCCTGCGGTCAGGCAGTCAGGTGTGGGCGCCAGCGATCTTGCGTTCCCCAGGAGCGCGGATTTCCGAAACAGCGGTAGGAGAAGCAGCAGTGGAGAGCAGGAAGGGGGTGGGATGAGATGGCGGCCGGCTGGGTGGGGCTGTCAGTGCAGGGCCAGCAGGAGAGGCAGCACGGGGGCGGCTCCTCGGCTTCCCAAGTTCCTCCGGTCGCACCCGAGTGCAGCCCGTGCCGCCGAATTCTTCGCCCATAAATGCTGGCCTTGACTTTTCACCACGGCATTTTTATATACTGTGTATATATAGTTTTTTCTAGAGCTAATTAAGGGCCGTTCTAGACTGAAGGAAAAGAAACATTGCAGAAGGAGCTCAACTTCATATTGATTGTTTGTGGAAGCTCTCGTCCAATCGGAGAACCCAGACAGGATAGCGGTTGTTTTTGTGTCACATCCCGTCTGTTTTTAAAGAAGGCGAAAGACTGGGGGGCAGGGGGGGGGACTTTTCAAACCTCCCTGAAAAAGAACAGTAGATACATGTGCTGACGGCCCCTATCAGAGCAGAGCACTTTTGTTGAAAATGGCCACGTTAAAGTCGTACAGCCGTATCCTGTATCCCAGTGAAAAGGCAGGTTGGTTTTAAAACCAGCACAGAAGGTGGTTTGGATACCTGGGGTTAATTTTACAGAGCAGGAACATTTTCTAGCTCTGCTGGAGGGGTCTGTGTCCGTCAGGCGGGTGTGGCTGGACAGCACACCCCCACCGTGCTCTGCGTGCGCTCCTCTGGCCCGCAGAAGAGAGCATACTCCGTTTTTTTTAAACATTCTTGTTGAAATAGTTAACACCTTCCATCATGTTTTGCATTTGTTTTCGGGTGTTTTTTTGGGGGGGCGGGGGGGTCGAGTTTGTACAAAAAATGTGGTTTTTGTACACTGCTACGTTCTTTTTAAGGGAAAGGGGGAGGGGCAGGAAGGGAGCATTTAAGGATTCTAACCTTTTACCTTGCGAAACGTAAAGCTGTTTTTTTGTATAAAGCAGAAGTTTTTTAAAAAACTGTTGATTGTGATTTATGTAGTTCTCTCGGTGGGTCGAATGGATACACTTGATCATAAAGTTGCTCCCTGTTTATCTTCAAAGGCTAAGGCGTTATTCCCTTGTTAATCTTGTTCTGTGGGGGGTCAGATCTCTGGTCTTTAAACCAGCGCCAGAGAGCTGTGGCCTGCAGGTCCTCCGACTCTCCTGCTGTCCTGACTCTTGTAATGGGACAGGCAGCCCAGGATGCAAAAGCACTGGTATTGACAGGACATTGGTCATTTGCAGTAAATCTTCATCCATCATCACTAATTAGGTACAATTTGAGATGACAAACTGGATAGGATGCAAGTCTATTGCTAGGGCAATTTGGAGACCTTCCCAGCATTTCCTTTGGAAACTGGAACATCAAAGCCTCTACAGCACAAGAGGAAACCATTTGGCCCATGTGGTTATAAGTAGCTGAGGAGCTAACTGGTCTGGGTCTGGGTGTTGGTTTTAACCACATGGCTGAGTACTGTGTTCCAGACTCCTACAACCCTTTGTGTAAAGGAGAGCCTCCTGCTGTCAGTTGTAAGTGTGCTTCTCTCTAGTTCCCACTTCTGGTGACTCCTTTGCATTTCGTGATTGAATCAGGAGAATCCAGAGGTAGATTTTTCCGATGTCATTGTGGACTCCTGATCTGACAAGAGCTGCCGTAGACGTGGGAACACGCAGGCTCCACACAGAAGGCAGCCCAGTCCAGACTGAAACCCAAGATGTGAGCACTAACCACCTTACTAGATGTGGCTCTGCAACAAACGTGTTAATGTCAGAGAATTTCACCATCAAATTTAAGACCTCACCTGTAACAGATACAACCAGAAAATTCTCTGAATCCCTGCTGTTTATTTCAAACGGGTTTCCCCAACTTTCAGTTCCTCTGCTGGAATAGCTTTTTTTTTTTTGCCTATTTTTAAATGTTAACGAGCTACGGTGGAGAAAAGGGGGGGCAATCTCCAGTTGAGAAGCTGGAAGATGTCTGCGCCAGAGCAGGATCCCACGTTGTGACAGCCGGTGGCAGCCCTGTGACTTCTGGGCTGCTGGTCTGGCACAGGGCTGCTAGACGGGTGGGCTGGCCCGGGTACAGTTAGGCCCAGTGCTGGCCACGCCCCACTCGTCGGGTTCAGGACCAATCAGAGGAGAGATGGCTTTGCATGCCTGCAGGTGCTCAGGAAGCCTGAGGAAGCCCATCCCTCCCTATGGATCTCTCTCAGGTCAGAACTAAGGGGTACGGGGGACTGGAGCAAGCAGAGTGCTGTTCTAGGGCTGTCAGAACCTGGACTTCCCACAGTTGCTCCGGACTGAAGACTGCACCAGGGGTACAGCGATGGGGATGGTGGTGGGGTGGGGGGGGGTCTATTCTGAATTAGCAGAGCAAGGAGCAACTTTATCATCAGCAGTCCCACGTGTGCAGCACAGATACATTTGTCCTTTTCAGTCCTGTCCCGGGCCCCACTGACCCCCCGGCCTGTAAATTCCACTTGCATTCAGTCATGTGTTTTTATACTTTTGCTTTGTACTGCATACAAGATGTGCGTTTTACATTTGAGATATATCTATGTACAAAATAGGTTTTTATATGCAATATATGGGATATTAGGGGCAGGGCTGAGAAAACTGGATTTACATACTCCTGTGCTGGACTGGTGGCAGTTACTATCGACACCTCACAAATCTATAATTTCCCCTTCTGTTACCGTAGCAACTGAAGCTTGTTAGAAATGAGATCTGTTCTTCTGCATGTGTTTTCGTTGTGACTTCATTTAAATGTTTTAGTAAGTGGTGATATGTCTGATTTATGTATTTTTTGAAAATAAAGGTTTGTTTATTTGTTGCTGAGTGTTTTCTGAATGAATGCAGGGGAAGGGAAGTTTTTTTTGTCTCATTAGCACTAGGTTCAATTCAAACTGCTCAGCTGAATGGCACACATTTTTAAACATTTTAACATTTTTAAAATTACAGCCTGGGCAAATGAATGGAAAAATATTTTCCAATGACATCGCATAATTTTATCTGGCTCAGTAGTGTATCATATAAGAAAGGTTACAAACAAATCATTAAGTCCATGTGGCTTGTTTGGTAGTAGTTAAAATAATCCTCAATCTCATCCAGCCCTTTTTGAAAGAAGAGAGTATCAGCTTCAATCCATACGACATTACAGCCCCAGCTGATGCAATTGTTCCCACCTCACAGCTAGATCTCAGAAGGCCAGCAGGACTGGGCCTGCTCAGCCTTAAGAAAACTCAGGCTGCTGTTGTTGGTGGACCAGTAAATGGAACCTTCCCTCTGTGCTGAAGGAGGTGTACTTTTGGCAGAGACTTCAGCTTGTGGACCAGAATACTTCATCATTCAAGCTGTTGGTCTCCTTTCAGCTGGTACATGAACCATCCAAAAATTCTCATTTTGAGTTGGGGGGGGTGTCCAGTGACTGCAGGCTGTCCTGGTCTATTTCAAGCTGACATTAACCAGCAGCAATATCCCAGCTGGCAGCCCACTGGAGCTCAGCAGGTGTGAGCCTGGTCGGTACCTGGATGGGAGACTCCTGGGAAAGCCGAGGTCGCTGCTAGAAGAGGTGTCACTGGGACCAGTGGAGGCGGCGAGTCCCCCCATGACCCGTGCAGTTCTTTGAGTGGATTGTCCAGAAAGGCGCTATATAAGTGTAATACCAAATAATGGAATGAAAACCTGGAGAAGCACAAGCAAGTGCTGTATAACATTTTTACTATAACCTGTTGATTCATTTAAGATGATTCCTTCTAAAACATTGCTGCATGGATCAGATATCGCTGCCTAAAGTTCACTGACCAGAATAGGCAACACACCATCAGAACAGTTTTCAGCCCTAGTGTTCCATCTTCTCACTCATGTGTTCGACGTATTGTACACGTAGCTCCCCCTACTGGTGGCGCTGTATAGTCACGCAAAACCCATTGTTAGTCTAGCATTGTTTTCCCAGACACGAATGGCTATTGATTAAAAAAAAACAATGTTGCGAAAGAACAACGACCCCCCTTCCTATTAACGAATAACTATATATAACAATACTCGTTGTTACAATTGAAACAATATCGTCGGTATTCATAAAGTACCCCCCCCACCACCACCAAAAAAAGACCTTCTCGTCTTGCTCAACGAAATGATAAAACCGTTTGCTTGAAATATACATTCCAAGTCATTGACGTTTTGTTAAAAAAAAAACTTTTTTTTTAATAGACGGAATGGCGAGTGCTTTTTGAAAGGGTTACAACCCTACATAAACACGCGTCAGATAAACCGAGAGTTGTTTCTATCAGGGCAGAGACACGTAACGTGCACTACAAATACAGTCCTCAAGATGGCAGTGGGACAGGAAACTACCTTCCAGAAATTTCGGGAGTCGTTGTGTCAGCAGCCTATT